GAACCTGAATGGATGACAAGTGGAAAATACGGGGTAGTTCAGTTTGATGCTACTCTGTAGTTAAATGGTTCCGCATCTTCTGAAAAAGATTGTCTGATTTTTAATTACTTTATCTGTTCCATCCTTGGCTTCAGCAAAGGTTCTTTTTTGTTGGCACTTATTTCTCCCAAGTGATTTGTTGATTTTGTTCCACAAAAGACTTCAGTGTTGTGCAAAAGTTTACAAACTGTGTACATAAATAATTTTCAATTTTTATATATTTTGTTTTCCTAATGTCCAGTGTCAGCAGATGTTTAAAGTGAACATTAAGTTGTCCAATAATATTTTCTTCATCAGTGGGTATGAGAATTTATGGCCAACAATTGCAAAATCTGCTTCGGAAACCATTTCCTCATTCCCACTTTGGTGTATATTTAATTCAGGATAATTTGTGCTCCACATGCTAAGCATTGCATGAAAGTTAGTATTTTAGGGAATGAACATATTAATTCCAGATAGATTTTTGCAGCCCACTGCAGGATCATGTTTTAAGACTGTTGAAAATGGAGCTTACTTCTACCAAGTCTTTGTTGCATAAATTGCTTTTTACTTCCTTCTTGTATCAATGGGCAAATAACTTCTGCTGTTTTGAATATAGTTTCCTGCACTTTAACAGAAGAGTTCTTGAGTGACACCTTGTAAGTATTAATTTAGAATTTGAAAAATTATATTTTAATTTTAAAATACAAGTGGATGTTGCTAGCCAGTTTGCATTGTTGTCCCGTATGGTAGGAAGGTTAATAGGAGAAAGGACAATCTCATTTTAAGCATATAGAAGATATTGTCTATCTAAGAATGTCTACCAAAAAAAGCACACCAAAACCCCCCAAACTGACCAACCCAACCACTTATTAGTTGGATTCTAGGTCTAATACAGATTTGAATTAAAGGTGGCCTGTCGGCTGTGTTTGTGCTTCGAGCACTACTGCCTCCTTCCATTGTGGTACTTCTGTTTGTCAATTGTATTGGGGGTTGTTTTTGTTTGGTTTTGTTTGTGGTTTTTTTTAAAAGGATATCATGCTTACGGGGGAAATAAAACCCCAGTTGCACTGAGAAGTTCATGCTGGAGAAGCACGTGCCATACAAGTTGCTGCTAATTGGAGTTGTTGGATGCCCATTACTTCAACCCTGCTCTCAAATGACTCAATTTTTGTGAAAATTCAGGGGTATTTCAGTGGTTTTTCAGAGTCAAGTGAAATCAAAGTGGAAATGCATTATCCATTTATAAAGGAAAAATTAAAAATAGGTGCTGTCAAGACTTAAAAGTACGTTAATGGTTTGAATTAGGGGTTTTGACAGGAGGCTGGTATAATGCCAGTAATAACCAGCAGTTTGTTAGAAAATGGTTGCAAAATTATCCATAGAGTCTGACTGGTTTATGCTCTTGTCTAGATCTGCTAAAATGAGGTGTACTTACCCCTGGTACCCAATGTGGCTATGTTAAAGAGAACAGGAGTAGACTTTTCCATTTTACATACCTCTCATACAGTGAACTGGAGGGCACAGAAATGGCCTTATTTGATTGTGTTCTGGAAGAGGTACTATGGCAGGGGAATCAGCATGACTGTATGGTAGAAAGTAGATTTAGAAAGATTTCTGTGCAATCTAAGACAAGAGTAAGCTTTGGCAGGCTTAAAGAAGTGGGAGGGGGAAGATCCAGGCAGTATTTTGCACCTATTTCAGGCTTTTAAAAGGAAGCTGAATTCCCCTTCTGGTCACTGGCAAATTATGTCTTATGCAGTGGAGAAAATGCTGCTGCTGCTGATTGTGTTCGTACAATAAACACTTATATTGTGGATATAACTGCTCCAATTGCTAATGACTTTGTGTTGTTGTTCTTACATTTGAATGCATATTGCAAGGTCAAGTATTCAAAAACTAAAAAGCTAGGAATTTCAAGAGGCAATATGATATTGTATGTAGGGTTCTAGTTTTGAGGCTTGGGTTTTGCGTTCTCATCTCCTTTGTAAATATCTGGGTTAGCATTTCTAAAGGTTGAATATGACCTGAAGTTATAAACAGAATCCTACAAAATGCTTAATTGCTTAGGAGATGCAGCAGTATTCACTCAGTGTTATTGCATCATCTCATGGGAGATTGTTGCATTAATGTTTGTGAGGAAGTAGGGTGGTCTCCTGATTACCGTAAGACATGTATTTCTTATATTAACCATTCAAATGCTAATTTAAGACATGATGTCATGTTAAAAAAAATAATTTAATTCTGTTCTTTAGTTTTTTGTGACCACTTTTCATCTTTTGCCCCTCACAAAGAGAAGTTTATGTAGTAATACACAGTGTAACTGAATACAGTTGTGAGAAATGCACAGCTGTAACTTCCAAAAGCTTAATTGCTTGACTTCTATAGCTGCAATTGCAAAGTGCTGTCTCTAGACAGAACTGAATATGCAGCATACTTTTCTGGTTGTTGTTTGGCTATATTTTTATAAAATTTTGATTCTATGAAAAAATAAAGAAATGGTGCTTTAAGACTGGTCTTACCTTCTCCCATGCCACAGAGATGTAAGGGAGGACATATACTCTGAGGCACTGTATCTGCTGTTGGGTTAGCTACAGTTTAGTTGAAAATAGGAAATGCTTTTGTAGATAATAAGTCTTAATGACTTGTGTAATACAACTTCATGAAATGGCAGCCTATGCCTACTGCAGTTAGATGGAATTTGCTGTTACACAACATAAAGCATATGTTGTTATAATAGCATATGCTATAATAGCATAATTTTTTTGAGTATTCAAGAAAAAAATCCATATGTCTGTTACAACTGGTTGCCCAAAATGCTTGTACAGGAGCTAGGAATTGTATATGCAAGTCATTGAGATTTTAATTTCATGTGCCATTCATGTGAATATTGATGGCAAAAACAAGGGCATTTTCAGTAATTTTTAGGACCACCACAGACCAACAGCTTTTGACTTCTATTTTGTTATTCTGCCTTTTGAGCAGCTGTATTTGTAAGTCAGTTTTTGAGAGATAGTGATGACTTCCATTTGTAATGAAACAGTGTAAGTAATGTCACAGGCAGTGAAAGCCAGTGCACACACCTGTCTGAATACTTGATTATTCATCAAATAAGATATATACAATAAATCTGTATGTATATGAGACTTCTTAAAATAAATTGCTGTGGAAAATTGTTTGTTGTATGACTAGAAACTTGCAAGAATATTGAAACAAATAATACAACTTTGTGTAAAAGTGAAACATAATTTTTATTATATATACTATATATAGTATACTATATAACTATAACTATATATATATACTATTTTAGTGTCTGGGAAAGCCAACTTAAGATAATTCAGGTCTTAGTTCCTGAAGGCTTTTTCCTCTGCAACAGATTTTATACAAAGACCTGTAAAGCCTATTTATCCAATGAGGATTTGAAAGATGCAGATGCAAGACTTGGGTATTATAAAATGTTCTTCCCTAATACTGGCCTGTCTTGATAGAAGTTTCTGCCTTATTTCTGTACCAATATTTGTGTTCAAATGTCACAACCTTAAAAAGCATTGAGAATCTCTTAACATTATTCTGGTAATTACTTATTGTGTGCAGCTGATGGTGTCATTATCAGGAGCAGTTCCCAAACTGATAAGTGCTCCATATGTTCTCAGCAAAAACAGAAATATTTGTGTTACACGTGAGGTAACTAAACTATTTCCAAATAGATTTGTTTTAAACACCTTACTGATGTCTCATAAACCGACTATTGTTGTTGAAATAGTTGCTTTAACGTTCAATGTTTACAAATATGTAAGGGATGAGTGTCAGGAAGATGGAGTTAGTCTTTTCTCAGTGATGACCAGTGATAGGACAAGGGGTAATGGATGCAAATTGGAGCATAGGAGGTTCAAAGTGAATATCCGAAAAAAATTTTTTGCTGTGAGAGTGACAGAGCACTGGAACAGGCTGCCCAGGGAGGTTGTGGAGTCTCCTTCACTGGAGACATTCAAAACCCACCTGGATGCGTTCCTGTGTGATGTACTCTAGGTGACCCTGCTCTGGCAGGGGGGTTGGACTAGATGATCTTTCGAGGTCCCTTCAAACCCCTAGGATTCTATGATTTATAGTGTATTTATATTAATGGTTGAGCTACTTAACTACTTGTTCTATGTGAAGCATGTTTATTTCTTGTGCTCTGTCAGACAGCATAGGAAAAGTGTTCGAAGTATTGCATGAAAATTACCACAAAATGTTTTTAATCTAAAAAAAAAATATTAAAAAATAATTCCAAAAAGGAATTTTTAGTGGAACCATTAGGTTTTTCATTAAACAGTTTGTTTGCTTGCAAGCCTTCTGTTTACCTAAAATTACAGAAAAAAAGGTTTAGGATTATTGTTGTTGAATGCAAAAACATAAGTTCAAAATCACTGAAGACTTAACTAAAGGATTTTAAAACAAAACTGTGAAAATGTGCTGGCTAAAATGGTCAGTTTATTTCTTTCCAATATGGCAGTGACAGAAAGCACATGGGGAAAAAACTTCTTATACCATGGACTGTTTGTTTCCTTGTTCGGTTGTGGTGTTTTGGGTTTTTTTTGTTGTTGTTGTTTTTCTTTTCCTAAAACAGGTTTTCAAAACTTTTATGAATTTTTATTCTAGCTGATACAGATATATTTCTATTTCTGTTAGGACTGGAAATAAAAAGGTCAGTTAAATGTATGTGGATTAATGTATTCACATTCTGTCTAAGCTTTACAGTTTTGAGTTCTGCAGATACATTGTGAGAAGGGGTTTCATTTACCCTTATTTTTGAGGTTTGGCTCCTTTGGCTTTCTTTCTGTTGGGAAAGAAATATCTTACTATGATCATATATGATGAATAAATATACTTGGCAGTTCCATGCTGCTTTTTTTTTTTTTTAAATCACTGAGTGATAAATCCCTAAGTAAGCTAAATAATCATAGTCTTTCAAACTCCCTGTGAAGAAATTTTTATGCTTGTAGGATTTGCTTTTTTCTTTCTTGGGATTCCACTCAATTCTTCCAAGTCTTTAATGA